CATCCCCTACGCCGGGCGCTGACAGACAGGAGCCTACAAGAACAGCTACGTAATTGCGCAGCAGCCATTCGCGCCGTCATCCCAGGGATCATTATTCCGTTTGGGGGGTGTGGACTGATGGCCCCGCTATTTGGTGCGGACCAATATTAGGTAAGGCGCTTGGATAGGTTGCTGAGTCTGATTACCTAATGCTCCATCGGAACCAGCCACAGGAAATGAACACTACGCCACATATGTGTGGCTTGAGATCCGTGTCGTGAATTCGGGTCCATTGAATTTTCCAGTGTCGCGACACCCATGACCGTGACAACCACCAACACTTCGTGCGATTGACCATGGCTGCCACAATGCGAGATGGATCACGGCTAGCCCGTGCGGTCGGCACAAAGGGCTCATCACTTTGGCTACCCACATCAGCATCATCAGCCCCCCGACGATGGGCATCTTCCGAAACCTCCAAACCTGCCCCTGATCTGGCCGATCTCGAATCAAGCTCCGGCTTTGCCATCCCTGGCCCCGATGAGGCCACTGTCAAGTCCTTCAACACGGCCAAGCGTGTAGAGGACAGGCCGCAGCAGCTTCCTGGAAAGAGGTGAGTCAGTGGTATGCCGCTTTGTAGCCTCGACAATGCTGACCAGTCTCGAGATTCCAATACCATCCGCCCAAGTTCGACCGTGGCCCCCTCCACCCCATCCAGTCGCCGCCTTGCACCGATCCTACAGCCCGCGACTTCGTTCCCGGGCCTTTCAACAACCCTCGTCTCAAGCAGACGTACGATTCGACAATCGCCTCCGACCTGCTGACGCTGGCGTACATGCACAAGGTGCCCGGCACCGTCGTCACACCAAAGCCCGATCGCCTGCGTGAGTGGGACGATTCGTCTCCTTACAACATCAACCGACCGCGTCGTGGCCCCAGAGGTGCCGCGAACCTTGATCTTCTCGAGAAGAACATTACTTTCCGCAACATCCCCGAGATTAGCGCCGTCTCCATCACCGCATTCATGCCTACTGCGGCTAAGTTGCCACAGACGCTCCCAGTTATGCGGTCCGCTATCCAGGCCATCACCGGCAGCACTCCCACGACTGTGAAGATGAAGGACAGCGTCTCGCAGTGGAAGGTCAAGGAAGGTGACCGTGTCGGTGTCAAGACAACGATTCACGGGCCTGCGGCGTTGGAGTTTGTGGACAAGCTTGTCAACATCGTCCTGCCTAAGATCAAGGACTGGCCTGGAATCAAGGCCAGTACCGGAGACGGCAACGGAAACCTGGCGCTCGGTCTGCGACCTGATGACATGGCGTGGTTCCCGGAGCTTGGGGTGAATTACGACATGTACCCAGCAAGAGTGAGTTGCCTGCGCACCGGACACCCAGAAATACCGTTTGCTAACTGTCCGCACAGCTCCTCCCTGGTTGCCGCATCTTCATCCACACGACAGCCACATCTGACAGGCACGCCCGCCTGCTGTTCCAGGCCCTTGGATTCCCCTTTTACGGAAAGGTCAAGGATTTTTAGGTAGACCGCGATAGAGCCCACCGGGTGGGCCTATCTACATTACCTTGTTGTACAACACGTAGACTTTTTGTACATGAATGTATCACCAAAGCATCGATGTCACAAGGAAGCTGTGTAATCGCGAGTCTATGTCTGTGGGGAATCTTGATCATAAAATTCTGGAGCTCTGGAAACGCAAGCCCAGCTCTTTTGCTATACCGTCAACGTGCCTCCCAAAACGCCGTTCATGCATGCATGCAAATCCAACCCGGCCCCGGCCTTCCTCACGCCTTGGCTTTCGCCTTGAGGTCCTCCATGATCACATCCACAGCGTCCATGTTGTCGGCGTCCACCTTGTCCGGTGAGCCGCCCTGCTTGGCAAGCTCGGCGGTGCAGGCGTCCATGGCGGGCTGGTAATTCCTAACGGCGGAGCTCAGCGCGTAGATGGCCTTTCTGCGGACAACCTCCTGCTCGCCCTCCTTTGTCGCCAGCGCGACGAGACTCGGCACGCCACCCATGGCAAGGAGCCTCTCCTGGCTGGGGGCGTTGTTCTGCACGGCGGTACCGACGCACCAAGCAGCCATGCGGCGGATCTCGGCCTCCTCGTGCACAAGACAGTCGAGGAGGGGCGTCCAGAGGGAGAGGGCGGAGATGTTGTTGGCGTTATCGAGCGACTCGATGAGCTGCTCAAAGTTGTCAAAGGCGATGAGTTTCTGGTCGAGAGGCACATCGGCGCTGTGGATGGCGGCCATGGAGTCCTTCATGAGGTCGGCATCGCTGGGGCCGCCAAAGAGGGCGGCCATGGCCTCGGGGTTGAGGCGAGGGGCCTCGCCGGGGGGGTGCCTCGGCGCCTTCAGGAATGTCCTGGTTTGGCGA